GTGAAAGGGGGCGTCTACACAAAAAATACTTTATTTTGACACGTCGTTTGTAAAAATCCGTCCATTATTAACGGAGGAGTAGTGTTTTCAAGAAATCGCCTTCACGTATTATATATAAGGATATCGGTTGTTTCCAGAATTAAGGAAATCCTCCTTTTTTGTATAATAATAACTGTTTCCTGCGTATTTCTTGGTCCAAATCATTGTAAACTAACCAATGCACCCTTAATCATTAGATTCTCAAAGTTTTCTCTGCAAGAATCATTTCAGTGAAGGAAGATTGTAACTACTTTTAAAATTGTTTGATTGATATCAGTTATACATAGTGTAAGGTTATCCCAAGTGTTTTACTATTGTAGAGGCTTCACTAAAACCATTGATAACATTTCACTATGAATTCAATTCCAACAACCCACTTTAATGAGCAACATTGATCAAGATTAAAAATTAATTGGCAGACCTACAGTTTTACATTTCATACTATTTATTTGTAGATTTTAATTAATCTTCACACGAATCATAATACATTAAATACACACTTGGTACAAATAGTAAACCAATCAATTAAGTTCATAAGACGAAACAAACTTCATTCACATTTTCAATAGCAATGACAGAAAAATAGGGTTAAAATCAAATTTAAATTAATATCTCACACTTCCAAAACAAAATTGGTTTTTTTAATTATTTCGGATATTTAATAAATCCAAAGTGGTTTTATTTAATAAAAGTGGTTAAAACCACTAGTATTAAATGACAAATTGTGTTTGAATATTCATCGGAAACGTGGATTCCACTCTTGCAGTTAATCAAAGATAATGGTCCAACTAACGACCAATTAATTATACTTCCGTAAAATGTCTTATTCCATGGAATATAATTATTATTGCGAAACCTTTTGACGCTGTAAGGGAGCTTAAAGAAATTAAAAAATGTTTAAATGCCACTGAAGTATGTAATTATAATTATGTGGCGATACGACCTTCTAGGTATGATGGGAAACCTTTACACCTTAATTGTTGACAACATGAAGATGGTCGGTTATACAACCATTAGTTGAATACAACAGAAAAGTTTTTCGAAGAATATTTAGCCGTGCACCAACAATGGTTGCAGTCATAAGAATACACATTAACTTGGTTGAACCGAGCCTCCGACAGAAATCACTGATCACAAAAAAATTTTTAAACATCCCAAACTTAGGGTCAAATATTTTTCTCTAGATGAACTTATTAGCAAAGAAACCTAACAGAAAATGTGGCTAAGACCAAACAACTCCCTGAGAGAGGTTAGTGCAACTATCTTTTTAAACAAAATTTGCCATAGAAAGTCCATGTATGATGTTTACTTCACTATCAAAAACTCGTATAACCTGAAGTTATTGGTTACACCCATAAAGCATAAAATATTTACAACTCCATCAACACAACACTAAACTATTTCTGATCAGAAAAGGTCAGGTATAGGGCTTCATTTACCCTATGCTTAGCAAGTACAAGAGTGGTAGTGTTATTGGCTTAGTCTGAGCCCTCGATGTAAACGATGTATCGACCTATTAGTATCGATGTAACCTAACCTGAGCCGACATGCAAGGCTGGGTTGTTACAAAATGTGTTGAAGCAACATTAATCTAACTCGTGACGTTACCGTCCTACCATCATGTACGGAAAGAAATGTCATTGGCGTACCAAAGGGTGGGTAACGTTAGGTTAGGATAATGATAAGGCCGCAATACATGGATTTAACATAGGTAGTAATTTTATTTTTATAGCATATCATAACGGAAGAACTATTCGTACCTACAGGTTTATTCTGGACTAATAATGAGAGGTTGTGCTAGATTTGGACTCTTTCAAGATCATTCAAAAGTTTAACTAGTAACTCATTTTATACTCATGCATATCTTGAAAGAGTAAGCAAGTTTTTATACAGTACTGCAGTTCTATTTTCGGCTTAAATGACAGGTTAGGCTGAGGTTTCAAGGATTAAATTTAGATTTAATCTAATAATTGTAGTAATCATTGAGTAGTCATCGTTGTTGTATAATCATTGCTAGGATGTCTTCAAAGACTCATGGTTTATTCTTAGATAATAATGAGAAGTTGTTCAAGGTTTGGATACTTGAGAGATATTTTACATGTTTATAAACAAGTGAATATCCATGTTACTCTTGCGAAACTTGAGAGACTAAAATAATAAAGGTTTTTAAATAAAATAGGTCTAAAATAGAAGATGTGCCAGGCCAGAGAGTTTTAAGAACGTTTAATTTTAGATATATCGTTCTAGCATCTTTTGAGAGACTCAATGAAATGTTTGTAATTATTGATTTATTCAAGGATTATAATATAAAGTTATCTTAGTTTTGTATCTTTTAAGATAGTTTATAAGTTTATAAACGAGTAACTGCTATACTATATTGCAAGATTAATGAAGGGATTTTACTGCAACTCTTTTCTCTTAGGAAGTTAGGTTTCAAGTGTCGTTTTAGGATTTAATCTAGTAGTTGTACTGCTACTCTAAAGTGTCTTGAGGGACTTTAAAGTTAATTCATAGATTTTAATGAAACGTTGAGCTGATTTTAAAATATTTCAAGATAGTTTGGTAGTTTAAAAAAGTAACTGTCTTGTGAGGCTTACAGAAGTTTTCCTGCTTTAGATCTATTTTCGGCTTAAAGTGAGAAGTTGGTCGAGAGGTTTCAAGTTCGTTATAGGATTTTGTATGTTCTAACTATATTGACTTAGCACTTCTTGAGGAAATCATTTGGCTATTCTGGGCTAACACTAAGACGTCGATCTTGTTCAAAAATGTACCAAGAGCTAGTTAAGATGTACTCAAGTTCGCAGCCTTATTGTCCTAGTGAATCTAAATCAATTATTGCTGGCAACATACTTTTAAATATTGTTAGTTTTGTTTCCATAGGTTTATTTTACTTAAACATGCGAAAAGCTGGACTGAATCAATCATCATTTGGGTGCATTTAAATATGTTAATTTATTATTTGGCTTAGAAAAATGTTAATGGCTATAAACAATAAAATTCTTGGTCAACTCCTGAGTCGTGCGTTGTGCAATAATACATTTTGGATTGCGAAGAAAGTAGGTAACTAATCTATATACTTAATACAATAAGGATTTCTCTGTAACATTTATTTTTGATCCCTGTAGTCCAACTTTAGTGAGTTTTGGTATGTGAGTAGTAATTTAAGGTATCTCCAGGCGTTTTTGCATTTCTTTGAAATTTTGATTTTTAAAGTCACTTCCCAAAAATGTAAATGAAAGTAGGATTTTAAATCTCCGCTTGAACGATCGATTAACGATTAGTATGTTGTTGTCTTTTTTACTCCAAACAAAACGGTACAACTTCCATTGTAGTAAAAATTACGGTTTACAAGTTATTGCAACTTTTAGTATTTTCCCCATTAAATCATAGTTACTCCCTCAGCGTTGTTGACAAGGCAATGAACAAAGTATGTGATAAAGTATGTGTAACATTGCTGTTAGCTCCCTCGTATATTTACACACAATCTACTAAGCTCAAAATCAATCAACACATAAACGGTTGATAAATGTACTGAAATTTTCCCTTAAAAGCGTTTGTAATTATCTTTATTGGGAAAATAACGTAATGGCGTGGACATAAGCAAAAAATGATTATAAAATATAAATAAAACTATTGAAAATCGTAGGCTAATCTGTGAGAAGTTGGGCTAGGTCAGGTTAGGTCAAAACCTTGATCTCAGTCAGTGGCCTCATTGTTATGTCATGACTCAGGGATATATCAATCCATAATTCATTGCGATATTCTACATTCTACACTAACACGAGAGACGTTGAGCTAGGTTAGTGCTATTGATTGGCCAAGGTTAGCCTGCCTCAATTCCACCTTATCACGGCATATACCTTAACATAACCCTTAATACTGTACTTTTATGTAACCTATTTAAAAGATGTTACTAGTTAAATTAACTGTGCTATATTTGGTATAACTTTAACACACATCCGTAGTTACTGCCACTAGTATACATAACATTCAATAATAAAGTTAATACAATTTAGTAGGTTTAAAACTAAATTGTATTCTTTGTTTGAAGTTTATTATTTGTAATGGTGAGTGAATTTCATGCAAAACGAAGTTTAACTTAGTAGTGTTAAACGAATTCCTTACCAGTGTTTTCAACAAAAGAGGAATAAGTAGAAGTCGTAACTTAGTTATTATTATTAGTTTATCTTTCTAAAAACAAAGTTTTAACAAGTGTTCTTGATACCATCCATGGCCAACTTGACTCAACAGATTCAATTTCGTCGAACTCTCTTCCATTAGCCTAATTATCCATCAAAGTACTCTACCAGGTAACTGAAATCTTTTACGATTTTCAGTTATAAGGTCAATATCTGAGTGAACTTTTCATCAACATTGCAAAACTGAGCGAAACTTTTTCATCATTACAAAAGTGAGACAGGACTTTTTCAACCTTTGACAATCGTTTTTAGTATATCTACATTTACGCCAAATTATAGCATTTATATTGTAAAATATTTAGAAAAGTAGCTATAATCGAGATGGTATAATTAATATGATTTATTGGACAGTTTTATGAGTGCACAAAGCTAATTTAAATCATTGAAAATCTTCCATTTCCCAAAACGTTCCGCCCTTTAACTCATTAACTCCTTAAGCAGCATTAACTTCATTAATTATAGCTTCTCAAAACCAAGAGTTTATCAATATCTTTCTAATTTATCAAAACTCTTCACTTGGAATCGTACACATGGCCTTGTAAAAACTGAACCCACCGAAATCTAAGTTTAACCGTATTGTAAACTAAGTTCAACTGGTCTTGGAGTAGAGCGCGGGACTTCAGTCCCAAAGGTCGCGGGTACAAATCCCTCAAATCGCCAATGGATTTCCACAACCTTGAGCTCTAGCTTAAATAAATACTCGTTTGAAAAATATCCCGAAGTAAAGAATAGCATCCTAAAAAAATTAATAAATATACTCACTCGGATTTTTTTCTATCCTGACAGCTCCCCGAGTAATCTCCGACAGACTCTTTAGACCGACCTCCTGCAGGTTGAACATTTCGTAGACCACGAGGGCGTAGTCCTGGAACAGCCTCTCGCCGCGGATCACGCTCAGGTTGGGGAAGATCTGGCCGATATTGCGTAGACCCACGACCCTGTAGAACATGAGGTACTCCGTGATCTCCCTCAGCTCCGGCAGGGAGTGGAGGTCGAAGTCTGTCTCGTTGCCACGTTCCATCAGGACTATCTGGACTGAGCCCTCGACCACGCGGCAACCACGGAGTGCCTCAAGGTGGTCCGGCTGGAAAACAAAAATGGAGGAAGGTTAGAAAAATTATCTGATATACACTAAATATGAAATAACTCTCAAAAAATTAATGGCAACACAACTAGTTTTCGTAATTTATGATATTGTGTGGTTATATACGGCTACGCCATTGGTATGTTTTGGTTTTCTTGTGGGGAACTGTACCAAACCCTGGTCTTGTTACTATCTCATGGCCCGTTTGTTAAATTAATGGATGGGTAAATAATAAATGGAATCTGGGCACAGAATCAATCTTGATTTGAATCGAACGAGCAACCTTCTGATTTTAAGGCAATCACTGTAACTATTCGCGTACCCAATAGTAAAATTGGTTGAAACCTTCGGATATCAAGGAAAACAGAATCTGGTCTAAATCCATGAGTTGGCATTTTTTTGAAGTGACTATTTGTATTTATATATGATATTATGCAATAGTTGAGAGAATGTCTAAACGACGAGTGTCGGAATGAACGATTTGACATCTTTGTTACTGACTAAGAGACCTTTAATGAATTCCGTACTATAAATCCTATTTGTGGTCATCGATTGATGAAAATAACTTATTCATTGGCATTTTACGTGTAGGTGTTATTACCGGTGACATGCAATGGATGACGGAGACTCTGAATCAATATCGCATAAATTGACCATAGCTTGTGAATACATAATTTAAGAATCATTTAAACATAATTTACATCACTTGAAAATGTTCGTAAAACATGTGATAAAGTTTTAAAACTTATATTAAAAAAAACTTGTTTTAACTTTACAAAGTATATCAGTAATTTAAAAATGTTAAGTAACATTTTAGTCAGTTTTACACGAAGGCTTTGATATTCCTGTTTCAGTCTTTGTACGACTCTAAACGCTCTAGTTATACCTTCAAAGTTTGTCAGTTCTGATCAAGTAACGCCCTTTGTTAGAATGCACAAAGAGGAACTGCTGACAATAGCGTGTCCCTATAACACGATTGTTTGTATTAAAACAATACTTGTTAACAATGCTTGTTAACTAGGATTTATAATACGCATGATCCATTTTTTGTTAAAGCATTTTTGGACAATCCTGTTGGTGTCATTTTTTCATGTTAGCAATATTTTCTTTCAGCAAGATGAATCTGAATCTGACTCTTATATATTTATAAATATTTTATTGTAACTTGCCCTCATGTATTATCGATTGTAAAAATGGTGTTTACCGTATGATAAATAAATAAATAAATAAATAAAACTTTGTTTAATTTTGGCAAAGGATACTTGATTAAAGATAACGTAGAATACGTAATAAGTAACATTAGGTAACGCTTGGCATTTTTGCATGCCCTTTGTCTGGGTATCCGAGTAGTACAGTAAGTAGTACCATGACTATATGCCATGGTATATAGTCAATAGTAGTACTTGCCTTCAACTTTGAAGGCTGCTGGTTCGATTCTAAAAAAATCATTTACTTACGACCGTTTTTTAAAGTAGCCGTTTCAGTACAGTTCTTAGAATTGAAAAGTATCTCATAACAGCATTGTTTACTTTCATAACAGCATAGTTTTACTCATAACAACACGGGTTACGGACCAATGAGGTTCAAGGATTGAGAGAGGAGAAGCAAAATTGTAATGATTCGAAATTCAACTAATCAGCTGTTCAGGTCAATTTAATTGTTGATTGGTGCAATTAGTATTTGATACAATGTTTCGTTGCATCACTGTCAGTAACAATTAGAGGTTATAAACAAAAACATAACCTCTCTTGGAAGTTATAAGTAGTGATTTTTAGTAATTAAAACACCGTCGTAGGTAAAGTAGTGTACGCAACTCGCGTAAATAGTGTTAACGACACTCGTAGAAGTTTTTAAGGCACTCGCCAAGGCTCGTACCTTAAATTTTCTTCTCGTGTCGTTAACACTATCTTTACGCAATCGTTGCGTAAACTACTATTCCAGGCCCAGATGCCATTTATCATTGGGCTATCAAATTAATGATGCTATCTAAAAATTTGACGTTAGATTGTAACAAGACCAGGGTTTGGAACGTTCCCCTTTAAAACGTCAAAAAGTGCCAAGAGCGTAGAAAACACACAGCACTTCAGTGTGACATTTAAAAACAGTGAAAGCAGAGAATTTAGAAAACATTTATCCATCACTTGTGAAAGCCAAATGGTAAAAGAAGGCAAATGGTTGGTGAACTGGTGCCTAGAAGAAGTTGATATCATGACATTATGATTTTTTTTACAAAAAGATAGTTATATGCTTCAAGAAACTTTGCAGACAAACTTTTATTCAATTTACTACTTTTCAACCCAACAATAGACTAACTTAAGTATTAAAATATACTACATATGAACTTTATCCAATAATACATATGAATATGTATTATATTAAAGAAAGCATACTAACTCAGTACCCTGAAATTATTTTTTATTTTTTTAAACTCTACATGTTTCGACCTTTAGGCCATTTACAAGAGTAACATATTTAACCTCACATTAAACACAATAAATTGACTAATAAACATCATGTGATGATCTTGACATATGATTTTTCTTTTTCTTAAAATTTATGGTAGGATAATATATATTACGTGCACGTTGAATTTAACAAGTAATAAATTTAAAGCAAGCGTACCTCGTAAACGATTTGTTTGATTTTAAAAACCTTACACGTCAATAAATATTGTAATTCATCTCGTTAAATGTATTACACAATACGTCGTAGTTATTTAAGTCAAGATCATACATATATTCAAAGTCATTTATAAAAATAATACTTTATCCGAATATTAAAAGCATTATAAAACAAAAGATTTTGCTTAAACAACTTAAAAAGTTAACGCTGGAAAAGTTAGGTATAATAATGTGACAGGAATTTTGGAATTTTAACTGTATGCTTATTAAATTGTTATAAAATATTATATACAAAATCCGGGGGAAAAAAGTATTAACTTGAGAGTTAGCATTGAAAGGTTTTACTAAAATGTACTTAATTTATAAAGAAATAGCTTTATTAGCTCTTTGTTAACCAAATTATTCAGTGAATGGACCGAAATCTAATCTATCTGATAATATTTTATCAAAATATTTGCCAGATAGTCTTTACCAATATTTCTTTTTATTAAAAATTCTCCTCGCAGAAACTGAGGATTTTATTTAATTAAGTAACCATCTACAACCTTTTTACTCAATAAATATTCACTATCATAACGTCTTTTAAAATAAGTTACATTTTGATTTAAAATACACATTGGTATATTGAAATATTAAATTTTTACTGTTACTTATAGCAACTAAAACTACGAATTTATTCATATTGTGTTATTGATTTAATAATTGGACCAAACTTGTTTTCCGATATTCGACGAAACACAAGTTATTGGAAGTTATTGTTGTTGGAAAAGAGAATTCAATCGGAAAATGAACGAAGGGTCAATTATAGCCTCAGTCTTAATATTTCCGAACTGCTGAATAATATTAATACCTTTCGCATACCAAAAAATAACATTCATAAGTACGCCAAATATCCATTAGATAATGCTAAAAACCCCGCCTTCATCAAAGTTAATTTAATTGGTATTGTGTGTAGTGCTTTCGTTGCGTTTAAGTCAAATTAGTTAATTCAGTTGACTAATGTATTACCCATGTCCTTGGGCTAAGATATGCAAAATTACTTTATAGTGTTACTTTATAGTTACCATAAATAAAAAAGGTTACATTATTTTATAGAAAGGTTTAAAATCTCAGATTTTGTAGCCTGAAGAGTAGGATGGTATGTAAACCGTAACCACATACTCCCAAACTGTGCCGTGTTCGTGACATATGTGGGCGGAGAGACGACTGCTCCAGGGCATCATCAGCCTTGTATTAGAAGACAGCACAGACGTGCAAAAGAGGTTCAAACGATCTCAAGATATATTGATCTTTTATTCTTATGTAAATGATCATCTAGGTGGTTATAGTGTCCAACAAACTAAATTCCAAAGGTTGCCGGTGCCTGAGAAAAGTCAGCAGCGTGTTGGTTCGCAGGACTTTGCTTGATTATTGGGCTTTTGATAAATGATCCTGGCTATAGAACCAACCAAACATAGTCGTTAACAAGATTATCACGTCTTTCATTGAATCCCACTCTTTACTTATCATTTTAACACACGTAAATTGTATAAGGGCTGCTTGAAGGTAATCCAATATACCTCCTCTTTATAAAAAGTTATTGTTATATTCTCTTCAAGCAAGATGGATTTTATGATAATTTATGTTTTTATTAGTAAATTACCAGCAAGTAAACTGTATTGTGATTTTACATTTTTATTGCTACATGTTAAAAGTAGCACTTAGAGGAATGTATGGCGAGTGACATTTATGTAAATTAACCTTCACATGAGAGAATGAGTTGATTACAGTCACGTTGTTATAACCTCAGACACAATAATTTGACTTAATTTCATTATAGGGAAATTTTGTAAAACTTTGCTTCATGGAACACGTGATGTGAAATTTATTTAGAGGTGTACAGAGATCGAATGAGAATTAGCTAATATACGATTTTTAGCTGTAAGATGATGTAGAATCAGGCTGAGCTCGTCAGGTAGAACATAGTTTTGCCTTATTTTACCACTGAAATTATAATATTTCAGCTATTGATTATTTCAAACTATATGTTGTTTAAAACGAAATTCCAAATGCTAAATTGCGTGATCTTGACATCTAGAAACCAACCGTTTATTATTATTTTAAACAATAAAATTAAAATGGCTGCCATTTTAAAACTTTTTAATGCAACCAGTCAATTTTTTCGGACATGGTAAAACCCATGCCTACTATGTTTTGTAAAGATCGGTTCGAACAATTCAATGATAAAAATGTTTATGTACAGATACAAAATGCCCTATATCTGGTTGGCTAAGCGATTTTGGAAAACATTTAATTTTTAACTTTTTCTTTTGACCCAAAAAACCATGGCTGGCTCTTTATTTACACACACCCTGTATTATGGTTTAAATTAGCAGAATT